ATCTGAGTGGCTGGGCCGCTGGCAGAGCACCTTGCTCAGGCCAGATAGACCTACAGCTTCTGAACGTGCTGAGTTCTGCCCTCGCGGACCTTTTTTTGACCCCAGTCTCTTCAGTAAGCACCTGCTCTACGCCGATTTTGTCGCCAAGTTGCTGGCTCGCGGCATGGTGGAGCTGAAGGGGGACTGCGACGCGGCCACCGTCGGCTGCTTTTTCGTCGCAAAGAAGAACAAGAAGCTGAGAGTGATATTTGATACGAGGTATGCCAACCTATTTTTCGGTCGACCTGCTCGGACGGCTTTGCCGACTGCGACGGCCCTCGCTGCCTTCGAGAACCCTGGACATGACACTTACCTGGCCTCGGGTGATATCGACAATGCTTTTTAAAGACTACGACTGCCCGACGGGCTGTCCTCTTACTTCAGACTACCCGCCCTGGATGCCAGCCTGCTCGGGATCACGCACCTGGACGGGGCCCCACTCGCGCGAGGGGCGCGGGTGCAGCCCTGCGTGTGCGTCCTGCCGATGGGCTGGAGCCATGCGCTGGCCCTCTGTCAGGGCGTGCTCCGACGCGCCATGGACACCGCTGGGTTCACCGTAGACCAGTGCATCGAGGACGGGAAGGCAGGGGTCGTGGTCGACCGGGAGGGCGCCTCGGCGGTCGCCGGTTACGTCGACAACTACGCCGCCCTGGGACGCTCCCCGGCCCTCGTCGACCAGGCCGCCCTTGCCATCACGCGCGTGCTGACGGAGAAAGGGCTTCTCACTCACGATGAGGAGCCTGCCGCACGGGACGCCACCTTCGTAGGGCTAGAGCTGAAGAGAGGGCGACATCTTTCGATCAAGGCCAGGAGCATTTGGAGACTTCGATTCGGTTTGGACGCTTTGCTCAGAAGAGGTTTTTGTTCTGGAGACGCCCTCAGGGTCATCATAGGACATTTCACGTGGGCGGGGTTGATACGGCGAGAAGTCCTCTCTTTGCTCAACGCCAGTTACCAGTTTGCCGAGCGGATCGGGTCTCGGCAGGCGCGTCTTTGGAGATCGGTGCGACGCGAGCTTTGGCGAGCACGCTGTATTTTACCTCTGCTCAGCGTTGACGTCAGCGCAGGGTGGTGGCCAGAGGTGGCCGCCTCTGACGCGTCTCTGTTCGGTCTCGGCGTCACTGTTCGAAAAGCTCCCATATCAATGGTATCATCGATCGGCCGATGCAGCGAGAGGTGGCGCTTCCGGGTTGAGGGGGCCCAGCGGGCCCGCGAGCATGCTCTTCATCCGACGGCTGTGGGCTCCACTGGTGACCCCGACAAGGCCCTCGAGAACCTGCTGGTCGACAACCCCGTGGCTTTCGACGAGGTCCCCTTAGGCCTCCTGAAGTCTGACACTTGGAAGGTTGTTCACGCTTCGAAGGTTGCTGGGTCCACCGACATCCTTGAGCTGGAGGGGGAGGCGCTTCTCATGGCTATTCGGCACACGCTCAGGAACACTGGGGCTCTCGGGAAGAAGATCCTGTTTATAGTGGATAACTTGCCACTGGCCCTAGCGGCCACTAAAGTGCGGGCGAACTCTCGATATCTTCGGCATGTACTTCAGAAGATTGCTGCTCTGTCGTTGACCACTGGATGCAAGATAGTTGTGCGTTGGGTACCATCGGAACTCAATCCTGCAGACCATCCGTCTCGAGGCGATCACGGTTTTTTCACTACTCCATACCATGTGCACCTTACCCGGCCCCATGGGACCTCGCCGGCGGCCAGCGGCGGCGCTGGCCGCTGTCGAGCGGGCGCAGAACGCCCTGCTCGTGGTGGCCTCGACGGTGCGGACCTTGGGCCTCCCGATCCTCGAGTCCGCGGGGATCCGGTCGAACGCGCAGAGGCAGTGCCACGATTGGATAGCGACGCTGGTCCTCTTCTGCCGGATGTACCGCCTGGACTCGGACAGCAGGGAGTCACTGGACATTGCCGTCGCCGCGCTGCTGAATCACCAGTTCCGGGACGGCAGGTGCTCGGACCTGGGGAGGCAGCTGATCACGGCGCTCCTGCACGTCATCCCAGGCTTGGCCCGGCGCAGCGGGCGGTATCTGCCACGCGTGTGCCGGGCGGCAGGCGCCTGGAAGCGACGTGCTCCTGGGCGCTCGAGGCTGCCGATGCCAAGGACTGGGGTGGCGGCGATCGCGGAGGTGATGCTGTACCTCGGCCGTCGGCGGATGGCCATTTACACCATGCTGGACTTCATCTGCTATTGCAGGCCGCTGGAGGGGATCGCGCTGCTGGGAAGGCTCCTGGTCTCTCCCGTGCTGGCGGCAGGGGCAAGTTGCGTGAGGTGGGGGCTGCTACTCCACGACTTCGAGCTCGGCCTGCTGTCCAGGACCGACACGTCGGACGACGCAGGGCTCACCGACCAGGCCAGCTGGACCTCCCCTGCGGTGGCAGGGCTCCAGGCGGCGGCTCACGCGGATGCCTCGCCGTGGGACTTCGACGCGACGGAGTTCAGGCTGACCTTCAAAGCCGCCGCGGAGGTGCACAACGACGTCTTCAGCTTCGGAGACGTTGTGATGACCCCGGCCGCGACGCTCGTGAAGCACGGGCTGGCCGGCCCGCTTTTCGACCAGGTCCCGGCGAAGGGGAGGGCCCTCCGGCTCTCAGGCCTGAGCGCCGGGGCCACGTTCGCCGCCGGCCGCAGTCGAGAGCGACCGGCCACGCGACCCACTTGGTTCACGGCGGGGACGTCGGCGCCCACCTGGCCAAGAGGCTCGTGACGAGCCTGGGCCGGGCCGTGCGTCTCAAGTCGCTGCTGTTCCTGGAGCTCTTCGGGGGCTGCGGCCGCGTCGCGGCCAGCGCGCAGGCCATCGGCTACGCCGCGCTCAGCCTGGACATCAATGCTTCGCCTTTGGAGAATCATCTGACGCCCGCCTTCCTCAACAGGGTCCTGGGCTGGATCTCCGGCGGGGTCATCGCAGGCGCGTGGCTCTGCACACCGTGCAGCACCTGGACCCGCGCCCTCCGGACCCCGCTGCGGACTGAGCAATATCCTGACGGCCGGCCCGACCTCTCGCCTGAACAGTGTAGAAAAATCGGCATTGGAAACAGGTCTTTCCTCTTTTCCCTTCAAGTGATCCGTGCCTGTTTGAGATGCGGGATCGGTGTCATGATTGAAAACCCGCAGAGCAGCCTCTTGTGGTCCTCCCCTCACTTCCAGAAGCTTCTAAATTTAAAGAGCAGCACTTCTGTAGTATGTCACATGTGCCAGTTTGGCGCGCCCTGGAGAAAAGCTACCAGGGTGCAAGCATGGGGCATCGGAGAGCTGTGGGAGCTATCGAAGAAATGCGGTGGCCCTCGCGGCCTGTGCGGCAGGACGCTCCGACCCCACCTTGAACCCAGCGGGCGCGCGCCTGGCGGGAAACACTGGACCGCTATTGCCGCTGCGTACCCGACAGCCTTCGCCCGAGCCGCCGCTGCCATTCTCATCCGCACTTGTGAGAATAAACGCTCCCTGGCTCTCTCTCGCAGAATGGGGGTTTAGCCCTGATATTTTTTCGGCCTTCGGCCAAGTCCGCGTTCGGGTTCGGGGTGCGAGGCTCGTCTACCTGTCCAGTGGCTCGCCTTTGTAGCCGCGAGTCGCCGCCGTGCACTGCTCCTCGCAAATAACATCATCTCTCTTGGCGACGAGGGTCGGAAGAGGCCCTGCTGGGTGTATTCAGTACGTGAAGCAGGCACTGTAGGGAGCGTCGCCGTATGGCCACTGCCACTTGTGCTCAAGCTCTCCCTCCCACCCTTGTCTTCCCCCATTGAGCTTGAGTGTGGCTTTTTTGCTGGGTGCGAGGCTCGTCTACCTGTCCAGTGGCTCGCCTTTGTAGCCGCGAGTCGCCGCCGTGCACTGCTCCTCACAAATAACATCATCTCTCTTGGCGACGAGGGTCGGAAGAGGCCCTGCTGATGATGATGATGACGACGACGACGACGATGATGATGATGATGATGATGATGATGCTGATGCTGATGCTGATGATGATGATGATGATGATTATGATGATGATGATGATGCGGTGGTGGTGCTGGTGTGCTCCTCCTCCTCCTCCTCCTCCACCTCCTCCTCCTCCTTCTCCTTCTCCTCCCCCTCCTCCTCCTCCTCCTCCGCCTCCTCCTCCTCCTCCTCCTCCTCCTCCTCCTCCTCCTCCCCCTTCCCCCTGTGCGTCCCGGGTCCGTCTCTGAGGGCCCCACGGGGCCCGAGCGCAGCCCCGCGGACACCGGAGCTCAGGGGCCCCCGAGCGCTTGCGGTGGCCGCACCGCGTGGCGAGTCACGGGGGAGCCGGGGTCACCGCACGGCTCTGGGCCTCGGGTCGAACTATGAGAAGGAGGAGGAGGAGGAGGAGGAGGAGGAGGAGGAGGAGGAGGAGGAGGAGGAGGAGGAGGAGGGAGGGAGGAGGAGGAGGAGGAGGAGGAGGAGGAGGAGGAGGAGGAGGAGAGGAGGAGGAGGAGGAGGAGAGGAGGAGAGGAGAGGAGGAGGAGGAGGAGGAGGAGGAGGAGGAGGAGGAGGAGGGAGGAGGAGGAGGAGGAGGAGGAGGAGGAGGAGGAGGAGGAGGAGGAGGAGGAGGAGAGGAGGAGGAGGAGGAGGAGGAGGAGGAGGAGGAGGAGGAGGAGGAGGAGAGAGGAGGAGGAAGAAGAAGAAGAAGAAGAAGAAGAAGAAGAAGAAGAAGAAGAAGAAGAAGAAGAAGAAGAATAAGAAGAAGAAGAAGAAGAAGAAGAAGAAGAAGAAGAAGAAGAAGAAGAAGAAGAAGAAGAAGAAGAAGAAGAAGAGGAGGAGGAGGAGGAGGAGGAGGAGGAGGGGTCCCTTGAGGGCTCCGAGGTCACCACGCGGTGCGTCACCAGACGGTCTTGGAGCCCCCGGGGAAGCGCAGGGAGAGCGCCGCGACCGAAGCAGAAGCAGCGTCGAGGCCCTGCCTCGCGCGCCGCAGGCCGGAGGCTGCCGGGCTCCCCCCCTCCCCGCGCTCTCTCTGGGAGGGCCGCAGGCTCCGTGCCGGCCCCCCCGCCGCCCCCCGCGGCGTCGGGCGCTCCAGGCGTGCTCCGACCTCTCCCGGGGTCGTGCGGTCGGGTCGTTGCTCAGCAGCCGCCGCCGTGGCCGCTATTGCCGCCCCACCGAACCCGCCCTCTCGCCCTCCCCCCTCCCCCGTCGTCACTGCAGTCGTCGTTGTGCTCGAGATCGTGCCCTTTTGTTAATCGAAGTATCTGTCACACTACATTTTTTGTAGATTCTGCCCCGCAGGGTGCGTCGGCGTTGTCAAGTTCTGTGCAATGGCCTGGGAGAACCATCGGGACAACCATCGCGACAACCATCGCGACAACCATCGGGCCAACCATCGGGACAACCTTCGGGACAATCATCGGGACAACCATCGGCACAACCATCGGCACAATCATCGGCACAACCATCGGCACAACCATCGGCACAACCATCGGCACAACCATCGGGACAACCATCGGGACAACCATCGGGACAACCATCGGGACAGCCATCGGGGCAACCATCGGGGCAACCAACCGCGACACAACGCGGGGGTCCAGGCTATTCATTTTGGCTTGATTTGGGCTCTGCGAGTGTAGGAGCTCGCGCAGCTTCGCCGTGCCTCGCCCGCACGAACGTCCCGCATGGCACGGGCCGAAGCCGAACTCGCTTTCCTGGTTGGGTGACTCCGTCTTACTTCGATATCGCCCCCCCATCCCCCCTAGACACACTTGCTATACGTATACACATCTATATGTACACATTCAAATCCAGCTGCCTGCGGCAAACCCCCGCCACTGTGCTCGTGCAACAGCGCAGCAGGGGGGAGGCAGAGTGTAGGCACAGCGCAAATCTGACGAGTATTCTGCATTGGAGCAGGTCACGATCCCGACCGCGTCTTCGCCCGCGCGGTAGGGAGGAGGAGGAGGAGGAGGAGGAGGAGGAGGAGGAGGCGGAGGAGGAGGAGGAGGAGGTGGAGGAGGATATCTTGTGGAAACAAATCCTGGGGAGGCTTGCCCAAGGGGGAATGGCCGGGGGGTTGTCGGGATCCTTGCGGGGTTGTCCAAGGGGTTGTCCGGACCGCGTTGTCTTGTCAGCACGTGCTCTTGCCCGAGCTCTGGCTACATCCCCGTCTGGGATTGGTGCTGTCGCCTTCGTGCTGGCCACATCCCTCATCATTAGGCGTGGTGCTCTCGCCTGAGCGCCGGCCACATCCCTAAGTGGGTATTGTGCTGCCGCTCGAGCGCCAGCCACAATCACATGCTGGGACGCTTATGGTATGCATCTTGGAGGGGTTGTTCGGGTTGTCCGAGGGGTTGTCCGGAGATTTTGGGGGATACGGAGGAGAAGGAGGAGGAGGAGGAGGAGGAGGAGGAGGAGGAGGAGTAGGAGTAGAAGGAGGAGGAGGAGGAGGAAGAGGAGGAGGAGGAGGAGGAGGAGGAGGAAGAAGAAGAGGAGGAGGAGAGGGAGAACATGAGGATGAGGAGGAGACGGCTTCTCGGTGCCTTCTTGGGGCTTCCTGGGGGCCTCTCGGGAGGGTGTCTTGGGGGCCTCGTGGGGCCTCTTGGGCCGTCTTAGGGGACTCTTGGCCCGACTGACGCCTGCCACTCTAGGCCGCGATGGTACCCTCTTGGAGTGGTTCACGGTCGTCTTGGGGCCCTCTTGGGACCAAGAGGCGGAAAGGGTTTTTTCCCCAAACAGCTTGCTGAACGGGGTGCTGTTGTGATAGAAACTAACTCCGGCCGAGGGAACGTGGAGCAGAGATCCTCACAACAATTTTATTGTTTTGGCCGTTTCGCTTGAGACATCCTCACAACTCTCGTTTCTGAGTTGGCCGGGATTGGCCGTTTCGCCTGAGACATCCTCGAAAAGTTGCGCTCTGGGACGCCGCGCGAGAGGTGGTCCGGGCCGTTTCGCTTGAGATATCCTCGAAACTCTGAGCCCCGAGGTGCCGTGCGAGAGGTGGTCCGGGCCGTTTCGCCTGAGACATCCTCGAAACTCTGAGCTCTGCGATGCCTTGCGCGAGGTGGTCCGGCCTGTTTCGCCTGAGACATCCTCGAAATTCTGACTTCGGAGATGCCGCGCGAGAGGTGGTCGGGCCCGTTTCGCCTGAGACGTCCTCGAACTTCTGAGCTCTGAGATGCCCTGCGCGAGGTGGTCCGGCCCGTCTCGCTTGAGACATCCTTGCAACTCTGAACTCTGAGATGCCGTGCGCAAGGTGGTCCGGCCTGTTTCGCACAAGACATTCTCGCAACTCTGAGCTCTCAGATGCTGCGCAAGAGGTGGTCCAGCCTGGGGGCCCAGAAGACCACATGTTACATATCCTCCATGGGACCCTGCGAGCCTCAGGAGGCCCCAGAGAGGTCCAGGAGGCCGCAGGACGCCCAGGACAGGCCCCAGGGGCCCCCAGGAGATTCCCAGGAGGCTCCCAGGAGGCCCCAGGAGGCCCTCTATCAGAACGTGTCAAGTTAACACACATCCGGTGTCGATTCGTTGATTTTTCCCGCTCTTGTGCCCCCCCCTCCATTTTGAGGGGCCCAAACGGCCACAGGTTAGATATCACCCCTGGGAGGCTTCAGGAAACGTCAGGTGGAGTTCAGGAGGCCACAGGAGGCCCAGGAGGAAGCTCCAGGAGGTCCCCAGGAGGCCCCAGGAGGCACCAGGAGGCCCCCGCAACTCGGAGCTCTGAGACGCCGCGCTCGAGGTGGTCCAGCCCGTTTCGCCTGAGACTTCCTCGCAGCACGTTTCGCCCGAGACATCGTCGCAACTCTGGGGTCCGAGATGCCGCGCGCGATGCCCGCGCGCGAGGTGGTCCAGCCCGTTA